AATTTAGCATCAGGTGTTTGACAATTGTAGAAACCCATCATTGATTAGAAAAGCTTTTATGTTTCTTTCTAGTCGTCCTCACATTTAGAAAATCACTTTTCAACACTATTTTCGAAGATCGCTGCTCTGGCCTTGAAGTTGCCTAAACAAGTTGAAAAGGTACCAATGGAAGCGATGATGAGTGATTTATTAGCAGAGATAAAAACAGGCATGAAATGGAGACAGGGATTCAAACTGAGGCTTAGAATTCAGCAGGAAAAGCATTGATTTCAGATGTGTATTCTACTTATTCTTTAAGTATTTTTATCTTTGTTATAGGTATAAAAGCAGGCCTGCAAATTTACACTGTACACAATTATCTAGCCTGGTGAGCAAGACTGACGTGTATACGGGATAAGTACGTCAGGGCGGGGCGTGCAGGCGGCGCAGTGGGGCCGACACAGGTTCGAATCCATACTGTGGTCCTTTGCCACATGTCTCTCCCCCTCTCTCATACCCCCTTTCCTGCCAGCCTACTGTCGAAAATATATATTTTTGACAGCCTACTGTCGCCCCCCCCCAAAAAAACCAAAAAAAGTAAGTCAGGGCAGGAGTGGTTAAAGTATTATTTAAAATGAGGGACCAGAGGAGTGGTGGTGGTGCAAGGGTTAAGCGTGTGACCCATAGTCGTCATAGGCTTTGGTCCTCAACAGGTTCAAGTAAAAAAGGAAAGCACATGATTAAAACATCATTCCAATGCAGCTGCCACCTTGATTGCTGTGATTACAGAAAAACTCTATTGCATGCTGGCTGGTGTTAACGTAAACTCGACTACCACACTGTAGATATTCATAGAAGAGACCCCCAGCCATCACAGACTGACGAGCTGGCCAGGCTAAGTGTTATTATACATCAAGCAGGTGATAACTATTAGGTGAGTCCTAACCGTCATGGTGGTGCCTCGCAGCAGTGGCCTGATACAGCTCTTTCCAATTCTCTCAACCATTCCATGAAATGTGCCATTTGGAAAGCTACAAATTAGGCATCAATCCTGCATCTACAACCGCCAACGCCTGCTGGAGCTACGGCCACAAAATGTTTTAAACACATCTACTCTCTTTAAAAAGCTGCGGAGTGCTACAGATGGATGAAAAAAAAGCAGTGGTGTGCTAGGCGACGTAAGAGCAGCAGCTGATGAAGGCTCATGGCAAAGCTAAGAAGAAATTATCACAGAACACCAATCCCATCAATCCTGCTTTCCAACATCCGATCACTGGAGAACAAAATGGATCCTCTCTGACTCGAACTCTCTTCAAAAAACAGGAGTAAGCAAGGAGTGTGCAAATCAGCTGGCTGGTGTCCTCACAGACATTTTTAACACCTGGCTGGACCAATCCATAGTGCCAGCATGCTTTAAGTCTGCCACCATTATTCCGGTCCCAAAAAAGCCTTAGGTCGACTCATTTAATGATTACTGGCCTGTCGCCAGACTCCCATCATGATGAAGTGCTTCAAAAGGTTGGTTTAAGAACACATCGTCTCCAGTCTGCCACCAACATTCCACCAGTTCCAGTTCGCCTACCGATGGAACCGCTCCACAGAGGACGCCATCTCTGCTGCTCTCCACCTGAGCCTGGCACACCTGGAGGAGAAGAACACCCAGGTGCGGATGCTGTTCCTGGACTTCAGTTCAGCTTTCAACACCATCATCCCACAGCATCTGATGGGCAAACTGGAACAATACACCCCTCTGCTATTGGCTGCTTGACTTCCTCACCAACAGACCTCAGTCAGTCCAGGTTGGACAGAACACTTCTGATGTCATCACTCTGAGCACAGCCTCCCCTCAGGGCTGCGTCCTGAGCCCCCTGCTGTTCACCCTGATGACACATGACTGCGTCCCCAGGTTCACCACCAATCACATCATGAAGTTTGCAGACGACACCACGGTGGTGGGCCTCAT